CATTTCCCAAGTGCTAAAAATGTTCATTATATAAGCCAATGACTACACAGCCAGATGGAAATTTTCTGCCTCAGTTGGACAAATCCTAGTGGAGCGGAGACTACAGAGGGCAAAGATGCACGTTTTAACTTCATTCTGCCAACAAAGGACATCTGAGCAAAGCTTTCCTTCCCAAGATGGAGGGGTCTTCACTATCAACAAACAGTTTGCATCTGTAGCAGGGATTCTCAATCACTCTTAATTTGATATCAACATCAACAACTAAACATGAGCTTCATCAATAAATCTGGAATCTGAATTTAATTGGATCAAAGAATAAAGGGGGATTTCTGTGCTAGGTGTACTCTCCAAAGCCTCCATTTAGTTAGAGACAGGGTGGGAAACTTTTCTGAAAGAGGATCCTTAATGTGCTGTATCTAATACAATCCTTATAAGATTAGAGCCTTACTGGGTGACATTTACATGAAAAGAATGGCCACACAGGCTCTTTCTTCACTCATGGGTAGGGCTTTAGGAGATTATACAAAATTGGCCAATTCTTCTTTGATTATTTGTTAATGATTCTGGACTTTATAATGCCCATATAGAAGCTTCATCCAACAATCTAAACAAGTTCAGCCTCATGCCAGGTGAATCAGTGAAGAAAGATAATAAAGCCTGACACCTGGTGCTACAGGCTCCAGTGGGACTAGGAACTGACCAAGTCCCCCTTCTCCCCTCTGTTGAGATGGCCAGTAGTTCTGTCAGCCTAAAGACCCAATCTGGGCAGGAGACTTGAAGAGAGGGGCTTCCATTTGGGGTGAAGCTTAAATTTATGGAATCAAGAAGTGTCACTTTAAAAAAACATAACAAAAGAAACCAAATTCAAGAATCCAGTATTTGAGTGCAATAGCCGTGAGAAACCTAGCTTATTAAAACATTTGGTGACTATCATCATAATAAACTCTCCTAAGGGCATGCCCTCCCCTGACCTTAATTTTGAAATCAAAACCATGAGAGCCTTCTATTTCCTTCCTTGAACCTTCCCCAATCCCCCTCTCCAATTTTCTTATTCTTGTCTTGGTGTTACTGGAAAGGTCAAATAGGACAGGCTGTGAGGGGACAGAACAGTAGTTCTTCCACCCAGAATGGAGAGCTAACTCTTACTCTGTTCCTTAACATGCAGAAACTAACACTGTTTTGCAACTTTTTCACTTTGTTCTCCAAGCTCAGCCAATTTCTCTCTTATTACACAAGAGGCTCAAAATAAATACAAGTAGAGATGAGAGAGCATGAGCTCAATATGGGTTTCATTCACAAAACCATTTAGCCTATGTACCCACCCCCTATCCCAGGAGCTCCTGGCTGCTCTGGAACACCACTCTAAGCCACACAGCAACTCCCCTCCATCCCAAAACAGCACTCTTCCTTTTCCTGAAGGGGCTGGTAATCAGTGATGCTATCTAATAAAATTCATTACCATTAAGGAAGCTTAAAAACTAGTGCTTATAAAGTCTGTGCATTTAAAACAAAAAAGAAAAAAAAAGAGGAAGGTATTTAAAAGTGAAGCAGCCAATGTACATTCTCTTTAGAGTTAAGATCTGGACCGAGATGATGGAGAAATTAAAAGCCCAGAGTTCTCACTACACCATAGCAATGGTAAGTGACCCAGTATTGTCACCCCCTGCCCTGGCGTGGTTATTCCCTAGAGACAAGCAGCACTATTTGTTTCTTGCATCAAGGCTCAGACAGAACTTAAACAGGTAGCTTGCTTGTTTCCTTACCCTCTGCTTCCGCAGGCTTCCTGGACTGGTGGGTGATGGGCTTGGCGACTTGCCCGATCGAGGAGTAGAGAGCTGACTACCAGGGGTTCCATTAACTAGAAATACAAAGAATCACACAGAGAGAAAAATGGCATGTTAAATAATTTTCATGACAATTCATCTTTTCAGAGAAACAAACAGAGAGGGACATCTGCTAAAATTTAGATATTCATTTATCTGTATCATGGAGAAAAGCCTTAGAGGGATAACTGTCTTCAGAAAGTCACTATTTTGTGAATCCTGTGTTTAATAGAGCCGCAGGTTACATAATAATTTTTAAAATGTACTTTTTACAACTTCTGATGAAAGTATTAATAATAGCTTTATCTGTGCCAACAGAGAATTTAAAAATGAGGTTAAGACATTTTCAGTGAGATTCCTTAGAGATTCTTTAGATGCCCCATGCTAACCCAGTAGGAGCAAATGTTAGCACAGCTCACAAGGTACATCCTCAGATCACTGTGGGTATTTTTGTTGTTGTTGTTTGTTTTTAAACAATTACTTACTTAATCACTTCTGGAAGTTCCTGTGTCCATGTGTTTCCTATTTATCCACCAGCCTGATTCTGGTGGCCTTGCTTTAAACAGTACAAAGTAATTGGCCACAGACACTGAAGAACTCCTCACAGTTTGTCTGTGCTGCCATTGAAAATTAAAGCTGTTCTCTAGCAGGTTCAAATCACTGGAATTCTGCCTCATTCTCAACTTTTGAGAATTAGAATACACTATTGTCATTAAACTGAGATAAACCCACAGAACTCAAAAAAGCAATTCTTTTCTCTAAGCAGCATTGCCTCTAAGAACAGAGAAAACACCTAGAGACAGATTTTTTTTTTTATCAAGACACATAAAGTTGCCTCTATTTTACTTGTAAAAATGACATTACAGTCCACACTGAGTAAGGTAGAACCAGGCAGGAGACACATAACACTCTGGAGGTGTACAACAGACACTTTCCAGGAGGGAGAGCGACAGTGCATTCCACTTACCTTCAATGAGTTCTAACATGGACACAGTGTTTGACCTGACAATGGCAAGAGGCAAGATCTCCTCTCAGCACTAAGCCAAGCACCAGCGGAAGTAGGGACGCGGTTGGATTAGTTAAGGATGGCTAAGGCTGCGCCCCGAGCAGCTGAATGAGATGCAGGATTCATCAGCAGATGCCTTTTCTGCGTAAGGCTGACGTCTTCCCAGCAGCAGTGGGAGGTGCGGGTTCTGTCTTAGTCTACATCAAAGGTGTCAATTAAGCCTCATGCCAACGCGGAGCCACTGCTACCCCCACCGACACACTCACTCCCGGAAGCCCCAGCCTTCCCAGTCCTTTGCACTGAATCATAATAAAGTGCTCTGGGGGCAAGAGCCCCAGTGACTCATCTGAGAATCAAAATGACAATAACTCTTTTAAAGCCTGGCAACTACTAGGTAATAAGAACACCCTCACAAAATTCACTGGCAAGGTACAGTGTTTATTGATTTTTCCTAAACCATGTTTTCACAAAAACTTAACGGCCCATGAAAGTGGGAAGCTCCTTGTTTTCATCTCCTCCCAAGACCTTAAAAAAATGTCACACACGGTATGTTCTGTGCATGTCTAATTATTCTGCACCAATAAAAAGAATGTCAAGTACCTCATGCAGCACTAATTTGCAGTTTTGTCTTTGAAATGTATTTGGTGACTCCTTCTTAAAAAACAAAACCTGTGGGTTTTCTTTCTTTCTTTTTTTTCAGAGTGAAATGGGAAGCTGAGAATGCTTTAATTTTCTTGTATACTACAGAATTTTCTTTGCTGAATGAGCTTCCTGCTTGAGACTCAACACATTGGACTTCCCAGCCAGTGGCTCAGTAATGACAAGGACAAAAGAATGGTACAGAGGCAAAAATCTACTACCAGCATGGGAAGAGATACACTGCTGATTGACCAGGAATGTGCTATATACATGTAATATATTCTATGCCCACTTCTAGTCCACTTTATATCTTTATGCAATACCTAAAGAATACTCAGACTGAACTGGAAAATGAACAAATAGGAAGTGAACCCTGTATTAACACTTTTCACTCTGGGGTCTCTAATCTTACCAAGTTGAATGGGAAATGAAGAAAAAGAGGAAAACAGTCCTAGGCATAAACTTCTCACTTTAAGAATGCAAAACAAGCTGGGGGCGGTGGCCCAGACACTTAATCCCAGTGGCTTGAGAGGCTGAGACAGGAGAATTCCAAGTTCAAAGCCAGCCTCAGCAACTGCGAGGCATTAAGCAACTTAGTGAGACCGTGTCTCTAAATAAAGTACAAAATAGGACTGGGGATGTCCCTGAGTTCAATCCCCAGTACCAAAAAAAAAAAAAAAAGCAAAACAATAACAATATATTTGTACGTAGTAAGTACCCATTAAATATGTATCTCAGTTTATTGAAAACTTATTTTGTATGTATCAGTCAATACACTTAAATCTCTTTATAAACGCACATACATTTATGCATTTAAGGGTATACATATTATCTCAATTAAATCTCACAGACTCTGAGGTTGACATAATTATTTCTCTCCATTTCACTGATGAGAAAATAGAGTCATAAAAATGATGATCAATTTGACAAACAAATGGGGGATAGAGGCCAAAATCTAACCTAAATAATCCAAAACTACACCTTCACTAGCTGCACCAGCCTTCTACCCCAGGGGAAAATCAGAGAACTAAACTATTCATTACAATGCAGCATTTTGAAGGGGGAAGTCCTGGGTGTTGCTATTGGAATTCTAACAGGTTCAAATCAGGAAGGTCTACAACCAAAGGAGTCAAGGTTGACCTTGGAGAGGGCAGTGGGTAAGGGAGTTAGCCAGGTGATTTTGCAGAGGGCACAATGAGGGAAATGCATCTCAAGCCCAGGAGACAAGTGTTATTCATGGAAGTGACCTGAATAAATTAGCCACAACAGGTAGGTGAAGTTGGACAGAGAAAAGTGTTATGAATGAGGATGGAGGAAGATCCAGAGGCTGCAGGAAGTGCAAAGCATTAAAATTCAGGTGAAGGAGTTTGGTTTTTATCCAAAGGGCAAAGAGAAGTTATTGAATGATTTTAAGTAGGAGCAGAGGGATCAGGTTTGCATTTTAAAGAGCTCTCAAGAGCTCTTGGCCTGCCAAGAATGGCAGAGAGGGGAACAATACTGGGCACAGGCTAGTCCTTATGAGAATGTCAAGGTAGGGGAAAGTAGGACACATTAAGGTTCTATGGCCAGAGATGGTGGTGAGATTTGGCTCAGGGTAGACAGTGGGGGTGGAAGTAAATGGAAATGTTGCAGAGATATTTAAGAGGTTAAAAACTATAGAACTACAGTATTTGCCAAAGGATTGGTTGAAGGGAACAAGTTCCAAAGGATAAGAGAGAGTTGGGACACACTGAACTGAAGGTCCTCACGTGATCTCAAGTCTGCCACACTGGTCTGTGTTGCTTTTCCTGTTTTAGAGGAAGAAACTGACTTTCAAAGAAGTGACTTGCTCGAAGACAAGCCGCTGAAAGGCAGCAGAGCTAGAGCTGAGCCTCACTTAAGTCTCATTCAAAAGCCTTAGCACTTGTCCCAGGAGCAACCAGTCTGGTCCTAGCACCTCAGGCATACAGAACTTCCACCCCACCTGCAGAGTGGGCACCTCAAGCCCTCTCCCTCACTGGGGTCCTTGGACCCATCTCCTTGCTTTAAAGACACTGGGTCCAGTGCTTTCTCTTCTATTACCATCAGTCTGGAAAAATGAAACCCAAATGCCAAACACATCATTTACGTTTTACAACACGACCTGCCTGAAAGTTGGGGACAGTCTGTGCTCTTAATGTCGGAGGTCTTTTCAGACTCTTTCTAAGCCCAAAAGCATTAGCCACCTCTTAAAATGGCTCTTGACACCCAGAAGGTATTACACTCCTTCTTGTTGAATCTTTGCTAGAATACTTTTATAAGTAATTTCGACGCCTGTATTGAGTTTATTTGCTTTTTATTCTGTGACACCACAAGTCCCTGAGTGCCAGTGAGAAGGGCTTTGTTACTTATTCATTTGTACTTATTAAAATTCAATTGGCATTATTTTCCAGAGGCCCTTATTAAACAATTCTTTACCTTGAATGGGGAAAATTTTCAGCTTCATGTGGTTATTCTTAAATAGCCAAGTCTAAGAATGAATTATTTCAATCTGAATTCACTGAATTTGGAATTAATAAAGAATTCACCACTGCCTTATGCCCAGTTTTGGTTTCCTTCACTCAGATCGGTCTGGGTACATTTTCCTTCAATCCTGAATTCCCTTGCTTTACTTGTTACCTCTTGAATGAAAAGTGCTAAACTTTAGGATGGATTATTAGCAGATACCATGATGGTCACTTACATAGCTGGGCCCCAAAGGGCTGTGGAAGAAATCTGAGCACAGGACTCTTACCGGCCCATATCCATGACACTTTCTTTCAACTCAGCTGTCACCTACGTCTATCAGGGATCCAACAGTACACAGTAGTCTCTCCTTATCTGTGTTTTTACTGTCCACAGTTTCAGTAACCCGAGGTTAACTGATACCTGAAAATATTAGTAAGTAGAAAACTCTAGAAATAAACCAGTCATAGTTTTAAATATCTCTCATTACAGTGCATTGTTGTAACTGTTGCATTTATCATTAGTTATTGTTGTTAATCTCTTACTAACTCATAAACTAAACTTTATCAAAGGAGGTATGTACAGGAAAAATGTAGTATATATAGGGTTTGGTACTCTCTTAGGTGTCAGGAATCCATGGAATATCTTGGAATGTATCCCTGTTGATGAGGAGGGATAACTATGTATTGGTGATAGCACATTGTTAAATAATACCACTCATGAAGTGTCTGGATTCACTTCTTTCTCCATAATTTCAGACAGCTGATCCTACTCTTTTTTTTTTTTTTTTTTACTAATTGAAGCTACAAAGTCAGGGTTCTGTATCAACCCATTAGTACACAGAGTGTACACTAAGTACACGCTAGACTCTCGTTGGTCCTGTTCTCCAGGAAGCTCATAATTGAATATGAAAGTTACCAAAACATT